AGGTAAAATATTAAACCTGGCAGTGTCACATGAAGACTTTAAACTCTGAAGAGAGGAACAGTCTGATTTTTATCAGAGTGAAACAATGACATTATACAGGTCTCATCTAACTGTTCACCTCACAGTCTATTCAGTTACGATATATGATTAGTTTATGATAGTCGTTTCTTTGTGTATGCTTTGTTTGATTCTTTAAACCCTGACTTCCGTCTTCGCTGTCTTTGGGGAAGTTGTAAAACTATATGATACTAGTAGCTGAATTAATATTCAGGTAATTGTTTTGTGCATCTGATATGTGAGTATCAGTGTGAGTATTATATAAGTGAGTATTCTGTGTATGTAATTCATATACAGTTGAGGTCAGAATTATTCACCCCCCTTTCATTTTTTTTCTTTTTTTAAATATTTCCCAAATGATGTTGAACAGATTCAGGAAATGTTCACAGTTTGTCTGATAATATTTTTTCTTCTGGAGAAAGTCTTATTTGTTTTATTTCGGCTAGAATAAAAGCAGTTTTTAATTTTTTAAACACCATTTTAAGGTCAATATTATTAGCCCCTTTAAGCTATATTTGTTTCTGATAATCTACAGAACAAACCATCATTATACAATAACTTGCCTAATTACCCTAACCTGCCTAGTTACCTTAATTAACCTAGTTAAGCCTTTAATTGTCACTTTAAGCTGTATAGAAGTGTCTTGAAGAATATCTAGTCTAATATTATTTACTGTCATCATGACAAAGAGAAAATAAATCAGTTATTAGAGATGAGTTATTAAACTATTATGATTAGAAACGTGTTGAAGAAATCTGCTCTCATTAAACAGAAATTGGGGTAAAAATAAACAGGGGGGGCGAATAATTCTGACTTTAACTGTATAAAGGGTGTCATTTAGCTGGTTTTGCTGTAAACCTATTTTCTGTACAATTTACAACACTTATATTGGCATAGCAGGTAGATGTGTTGCAGTGTGTAAGGTATAAAGGAACGTTTTCATACAGCTTTCATGCATAATTACAATTCTGAATGTTTGATTTTCTGTTTCAGAAACCTGCTCGACAGGGACACATTCTCCAAATCAGATCCAAGTAAGAGCGTCTTCCTTCTTCCTGTTGCGTTATATACACACACACACACACACTGCATACTGTATTATGGCCAATCAAACCTTCAAGAGATCAAAATAAATCCTGATTATTCCCCACTCCATGCTTCACTTTGACCTCAGCAGTTATGTCCAGCCGCTCTCAGCCTTGTTAAAAGGCTATTTTCCTTCAGCGTCTAAAAGCTTACACAATCACATGACTCACTGCTTTCTGTTTGCGTTCGCTCGCGCTGATTGTGTGAAGTAAAGCCTCCAGCTTCAGATCACAGGCCTCATATATAGACACACTGTGGGCGGCTTTACTTATTGTAATATTCGCCTCCAACTGCACGCAGTCCTCCTGAGGAGGAAATCTTAATGTCACACGTTCAGACACTTTTAATCCAACTACGAAAGTACAGAGGCGCCGTGAGTTTTTGTTTTGAATGCATACGCTTTACGTTTGTTTTCAATAGCGATTATAACGCATATAAATATAAATAAATGAACGAATAAATCAATAAATTAAATGAGTAAAATAAATAAATAAAATAAATAAAGCAAATAAATAAATAAAATAATTAAAATAAATAAACAAAACAAATACATAAAATAAATAAATAATATAAATAAATAAATAAAGCAAATAAGTAAAATTAATAAATAAACCAAATAAAGCAAATAAATAAATAAAATAATTAAAATAAATAAACAAAACAAATACATAAAATAAATAAATAATATAAATAAATAAATAAAGCAAATAAGTAAAATTAATAAATAAACCAAATAAAGCAAATAAATAAATAAAATAATTAAAATAAATAAACAAAACAAATACATAAAATAAATAAATAATATAAATAAATAAATAAAGCAAATAAGTAAAATTAATAAATAAACCAAATAAAGCAAATAAATAAATAAAATAATTAAAATAAATAAACAAAACAAATACATAAAATAAATAAATAATATAAATAAATAAATAAAGCAAATAAGTAAAATTAATAAATAAACCAAATAAAGCAAATAAATAAATAAAATAATTAAAATAAATAAACAAAACAAATACATAAAATAAATAAATAATATAAATAAATAAAGCAAATATGTAAAATAAATAAATAAACAAAATAAAGCAAATAAATAAAATAATATATATATATATATATGTATTCAGACTACTTTTGCTACATTAGTCAGCAAAGGTTTTTCGGAAATGACAAAGCACCCCCACTCTCCAGCTGCGTTTTCTTGCATTTTCAATGTAATTTCCTGTTTCACTTTTCTCTTGTCGGTTGTTTTCCATTTCCTCTCAGGTTGTTTGTTCTCTCCTCCACCCGTTCTGCTTTCATGCTTGCCTTTTTTTGTTGTTGTTGTAAGAGTCCTTTGCTTTTTCTTGTGATTGCCATTTGTTTCCTGGTCCTCCATATGATCAGCTGGTCTGAATAGACATCAGCTCTTCCTGACACAGTCTTTGCGCTCATGCAAGTGGGCACTTGTGCTGAGCCCTCATCTTCATTATGCTGAGTACTGCTGGCCTAGTCTCTTAGCGTTAGCGTTACACACACACACACAGACACACACACACACACACACACTTGCTTAGAAGAAACGTTTTGCCACTGTCTGTTGCATCTTCTAGTGGCTGTGCCTTAGGCTTTATGTTTTTGTATTCCACAAACACACAGACACATCTCCTCCCTATAGGATGTTGGGACCTTATATATAGATTTTTGATGTAAATGTATTTTTTTGGGGAGCGAATGATTCAGCTAGTCATGTGGCGGTGTCACATTTTCAAGACATTATAAATGCTTCATTTTTATGGCAATTTTGTTTACGGCTTTAATGAGTATTTTAGTCAGTTGTATGATTCAACAAAACTTTGAAAGCAGCTTTGATGTGGAGGCTGAAGTATGAGAAGGAGCGCTATCCTGCTGGAGAATTGTCCCTCTGCTGTGGTTTGTAATGTAATGTGCAGCACAAATGTCTTGATACCTCTCGATAAGATCTCTTGCACACCCCCATACTGAATTTAACCCCCAAACCATGATTTCTCCTTCACCAAACTTGACTGATTTCTGTGAGAATCTTGGCTCCATGCTGGTTCCAGTAGGTTTTCTGCAGTATTTGTGATGATTGGGATGCAGTTCGACAGATGATTCATCAAAACCTGCATCAGCATTAGTTTCCCTTGTTTAGCTTCCACTTCTTATGATGTTTCCTGCTACCATGATAATAAATGTTGAATACTTTACTCATCTATTGATATGATTTCAGCAGGAGTCCCGTAGGATGTAATAAACTCCCATGAATTCCACATTCAGTCACTCTGTCATCAAAATGCACCTTTGTTTGTTGTGAATATGCCCCCTCTAGTGGCCGAAATTTAATACTGTGCTTTTTTGCCTCAAACTTAAAATGCTGGTTAGTAGTTTCAGTATTGGGTAAGGATAGTAATGTAGAATATTAGCATGAAGATATGTACTGTAATTTATAAGTACTAATAAACAGTCAATATCTTACAAAAAATATTAAGTTTAACTTAGTTACATTTAATTTAATTTTATTTTCACATTTTTTTTTATTTTAATTTTTATTTAATTTTATTTAATTTAATTTTATTTATTTATTTATTTATTTATTTATTTAAATTAAATTAAATTAAATTAAATTAAATTAAATTTAATCCACCTTTTTATTTATTTAATAATTTAATTTAATTTAATTTAATTTAATTTAATTTAATTTAATTTAATTTAATTTAATTATTTAATTTAATTTAATTTAATTTAATTTAATTTAATTTAATTTAATCCATCTTTTTATTTATGAATTTAATTAAATTTAATCCACCTTTTTATTTTATTTTATTTTTATTTATTCATTTTTATTTTTTTTATTCCACCATTCATTATTATATGAAGTTGAGCAGCTTAATAATATAATTACTTAGGGTTTAAATGTGTATGTGTGTAGGTATTTACTTATTTGTTTAAACATGCCTTTCACAGATAAGTGGCACTTAGTGATATTGTCATATTCAAAGAATAGTTTAGACATTTCATTTTGTCAAATTAATTATAATGTAAGTGATTAAGCATCAAATTACTTTGCTTGCCAACATTCTAAAACATCTTCTTTTGTAAACGTCAGCCTTGGGGTAAATAAAGGCAGAATTTTCCAGTTTTGCATGAACTGTGTCTTTATTAACAGTGTAGAGCGTCTCGTTTACAGCAGCTCAGTAGCTCATCCAGTGGGCTTTGTTATCTCATCAGATTCAAACACTGCAGACCACGAGATTACACCCTACACAAAGTGCATCTGAGTGTCACAGGTCTTCTGGCATTTGAAAAATCTCCCTCTTTCTCTTTTCTCTCCACAGTCTGCGTGCTTTACACCCAAGGCATTGGCAACAAAGAATGGAGAGAGGTGAGCAGAACAGCCTGGTTCACTTATTTTGATCCCTTTAAGGCCACAGTGAATATTCATACATGTAAATGTGGGTCTGGAATATTCTCAGGAATAATTGTCTTTGTTTATTGTGAATATGCACCCTCTAGTGGCTAAAATGACACACTGGGAATTCAAACTATTATTTTTGCCTCTATAAACTTAAAAAGGAAGGTTAATTTTGCAGAATCTGAGCATGAACAATATGTACTTTACAAGTTATTATATACAGACAATGTCTTAGCTTATTATTTTGTCTGCACAGATAGCCTTGTTGTTAGTGCATCGACATATAATGGACCTCATGGACCTTTCCCGATCCCATCCACCTCTCCCTTTCACTTAATTTCCTGTCATCTATAGTCCTGGCAAAAATAAACCTTAAAATTAAATGTCAAAAATCTAAATGCGCCTTTGTTTGTTGTGAACATGCACCCTCTAGTGGCCAAAATGACACACTGTGCCTTTAAACCTTTATTTTTGCCTCAATACAATAAAAAACTAAGGTAGGAAATTAGTTTAGATATAGGGCAAGGTTAGTAATAAATATGAGCATGAAGAATATGTACTTTACCAGTACTAATAAACAGACCATATCCTTATAGCTTATTAGATTGGTGGCACTGATAGCCCTCTGGTTTGTGCGGCAACATATAGAGGGGTGTCCAGGCCTCCCAAGTTCGAAACCGGGCTCATGGACCTTTCCGGATCTCACCCCCTCTCCCTCTCACTTAATGTCCTGTCATCCTACTGTCCTGTCAAATAAAAATGTCAAAGATAAATCTGAAATAAAATTAGAAAAATTTAAATACACCTTTGTTTTCTGTGAATATGCGCCCTCTAGTGGCCAAAATGACACACTGTGCATTTAAACTATTATTTTATGCCTCTATAAAATAATAAGGAAAGTTATTAATGTAGAATTTGAGCATGAGGAATATGTACTTTACAAGTATAGCCAATGTCTTATTATATTGTCAGTGCCGATAGCCCTTTGGTTAGTGCACTGACATATATAGCAATAGCGTTTCCCAATCCCGTCTCCCTTCCACTTCATTTCCTGTCATCTATGATCCTGTCAAAAATAAATCGTAAAATAAAATAAAATGTAAAAATCAAAATGCACCTTTGTTGTGAATATGCGCCCTCTAGTGGCCAAAATGACGTATTGTGCTTTTAAACTATTATTTTCGCCTCAATAAATTCAAAAAGGAAGGTAAGTAATGTAGAATTTGGATTATATGTACTTTGGAAGTACTAATAAACCAGCAAATATCTTATTAGCTTATTATATCGTCTGCACCGATAGCTCTGTGGCTAGTATGCCGACATGTAGTGCAATAGCACTCCAGGCGTTTCCCGACCCATCTCCCTCTCCCTCTCACTTAATTTCTTGTCATCATACTGTACTATCAAATAAAACATTCAAAAATAAATCTTAAAATAAAATGGCAGAAATCTAAATGCGCCTTTGTTTGTTGTGAATTTGCGCCCTCTAGCGGCCAAAAGTACATACTGTTCCTTTAAATTATTATTTTTGCCTCAATAAACTCAAAATGTAAGGTACTATATTAGTTGAATAATGTAGAATGTGAGCATAAAGAATATTTACTTTACAAAATTATTTCTGCAAAATAGTTTCAAACAGTTTATATGGGCTGAATTTAAATTCAGCCCAAACTCATTGTTTACAACCATTTAATGTAAAAAAAAAAAAACTGTAAATCCAAGGAATCATCTGAATCATTTTTTTTCAGAGTACTAATAGACTGCCAATTATTGTATCAGCTTATTATACCATCCATACTGATAACCCTGTGGTTAGTGTGCCGACATATAATAACGAACATTGCTCCAAGTGTCCCGATTTTTGAAGCCAGGCTCATGGACCTTTCCCGATCTCATCCCCTTCTCACTTCATTTCCTGTCATCATACTGTACTATCAAATAAAAATGTCAAAAATACATCTTAAAATAAAATGTCAAAAATCTAAATGCGCCTTTGTTTGTTGTGAATTTACGCCCTCTAGTGGCCAAAATGACATCCTGTGCCTTTAAACTATTATTTTTACCTCAAACTCAAAAAGTAAGGTACTATATTAGTTAAGTTATGCAGAATATGAGCATGAAGAATATGTTCTTTACAAGTATAATGAAAAAAAAATGTATGCAAACTGTTTTCAAACAATTTATTTGGGCTGAATTTAGACAAACAGATTCAATTTAGTAATGTTAGACCTAATTTGTTTGTTTAAATTCAGCCAAAATTCATTGTTTACAACCACTTAATGTAAAAAAAAAGTGTAAATCCAAGGAATCATCTAAATCATTTTTTTCAGTGTACTAATAAACTCCCAATGATTGTATTAGCTTATTATACCATCCATACCAATAGCCCAGTGTTAGTGTGCCAACATATAGTGCAACAGTGCTCCTGAGTTCATTCTGAGTTCGAAACCAGGCTCATGGACCCTTCCCAATTCTGTCCAACATGTCCTGTCATCCTACTGTACTCTCAAATAAAAATGTCAAAAATAAATCTTAAAATAAAATGTAAAAATCTGATTGTGCCTTTGTTTGTTGTGAATATGCGCCCTCTAGTGGCCAAAATGACACACTGTGTCTTTAAACCAATATTTTTGCCTCAATAAAATAAAAAAGGAAAGTTATTAATGTGTAATCTGAGCATGAACAATATGTACTTTACAAGTACTTACATACAGCCAATGTCTTAGCTTATTATATTGTCTGCACCGATAGCCTTGTGGTTAGTGCACCGACATAAATTGCAATAGAGCTCCAGGTGTCCCAAGTTTAAAACCAGGCTCATGGACCTTTCCCATTCCCGTACCCCTCTCCCTTCCACTTTATTTTTCTGTCATCTACAATATTGTCAGAAATAAATCCTAAAATAAAATGTAAAAATCAAAATGCGCCTTTGTTTGTTGTGAATATGCGCCCTCTAGTGGCCAAAATGACACACTGTGCCTTTGAACTTTTATTTTTTGCCTCAACAAACTCAAAAGGTAAGATAGTATATTAGTTTAGATATAGGGTGAAGTAAGAAATGAATATGAGCATGAAGAAAATGTACTTTATAAATATATTGGCCCATTAGATCATCGGCACTAATTGCACTGTGGTTGTGCGCCAACATCTAGTGTAACTTCCAGGCCTCCCACGTTAAAACCAGGCTCACTGACCTTTTAAAATCTTAAATCGTGAAATAAAATGAAAAAAAAAGTCAAACTGCGCCTTTGTTTGTTTTGAATATGCGCCCTCTAGTAGCCAAAAGGACATCCTGCGCTTTAAACTATTGTTTTCACATCAATAAACTCAAACATTTTGTAAATAAAAGAGAAAAAAAAAAACAGAAAAATAAATAAATAAACTAATAAATGTGATGCAATCATTTGTAGCTCTTTTTTTCTATCACTCCTTAATATTTTTTTGCGAATCAGAGGGAATATCAGGGTCTCTAAAGTACCATTAAGATGGCCATGTGTTTATTAACTTCAATCACTCACTGGTGAAATATAAGCCCTGTAGGCATGTAATAAGACTCTCACCCAGGCTTATATCAAGACATCTCCAGCCCACTTTTCAGATTGGGCTCATTAAAATGTTAACGACTGATCTCAGGACTTCAACTCGCCTCTGAACCATCACATGCGCCACTTTGACTCTGCCAAATAGGTTGTTGTGCAGGCAGATTATCACACAATATAGTGAAGAAAATTATGTGTGTGTGTTGTTTTTCTCGTGGGTTACACTTTATATTGAGGTGATGTAATTTCAGCGTAACTATTCATTTAACTACTAATATTAATAAGTTACTTTAATAATACTTAATATGAATATTAATATTAGAGTAATATTAATAAATTACTTGAACTTAAGATAAGGTGGCTCAGTGGTTAGCGCTGTCGCCTCACAGCAAGAAGGTTGCTGGTTCGAGTCCCAGCTGGATCAGTTGGCATTTCTAGTTTGCATGTTCTCCCCATGTTGGCGTGGGTTTCCTCCTGGTGCTCCGGTTTCCCCCACAGTCCAAACACATGCGCTATAGGGGAATTGATGAACTAAATTGGCTGTAGTGTATGTGTGTGTGTGTGTGTGAGAGAGAATGAGTGTGTATGGGTGTTTCCCAGTGCTGGGTTGCAGCTGGAAGGGTATCCGACCTGTAAAATATATGGAATAGTGGAATAGTTTGAGGTTCATTCCACTGTGGCAACCCTTTATGAATAAGGGACTAAGCCAAAGGAAATTGAATGAATGATTAATATTGATGTAAATAACTGGATTTGACCTTGGTTTGTTCTTTCAGTTTGGGCGGACGGAAGTTATCGACAACACTTTGAACCCAGATTTTGTGCGGAAATTCATATTGGACTACTTCTTTGAAGAACGACAGAACTTGAGGTTTGATCTGTAAGTATCAACAGTTTTTTTTCCCTATACAGTATAAAAAAATTTACTCAACTGTACGCTTTTTTTGAGTTGACTCAACTTTTAACACAAGTACTACACTAGACTCGATTTAAGTTGAGTTGTTCTTCTTTAAACAGTGTACTTTTAGAAACTTACACTAGCCTAGCAGGACAGAGCAGTTGAAAAGCAAAGAAATGATTCTTTGATGATGATCATTCATGTTCAATGGGAGCCGGCAGTGAGGTGTGCTGTGGCGCGTCTTCGCCAGTGTGGGTGGTGAGGAGAGTTGAAATCTAGTCAAATTTATGGTAATGAGCTATGACACGGTTTGGCAGCAACCAATCAGAATGTTGAAGTCCACCGCTTGAGCCCAAAAGAACAGTCCTGTGAACTTTGGTTCTGACCACAGTTGTTCCCAAGGGTTTGCTTATTGCGGTCATCGATATTTCCAGTTATTTACGATGTTTTTTTAAAAAAAAAGTTACTGGCGAGTTACTGATGTGCATTAATGTTATATCTATTTAAAAAAATAATAAAAAGCAGGAATCTCATGCGAAATATAACAGTGGATGGGGGATTCTTTAGAAATGAAGATAATACAGTAATTTGGGTTTGGAAGGATCTGATTGGTTCATTAATGATTGCGGACGAGAGACCAGCTGCGGTCAAACATATAATATACTCCTCTTGAAATTAGTTTGTAAAACTTCACTTAATTGCGCTTAATCGCCACAAGATAACTAATTGAAATTAATTGCAAATTAATCACACATTTCATCTGTTTTAAATGTTTTCTTTTCCTCTCTGTGCTTTAAATTAATTTAATGTCATATTTTGAAACTGTTAAGTGCACTCAATTAAAAAACGGAAAGATATCATTGTTTTAGAGCGAAACACCAATAAATAAAATGATTGACTGAAGCTTAATGAAGCCTTGGATGAAGACTGAATACCAAAACATGATTCTTCTAGTTTTATATATATATATATATATATATATATATATATATATATATATATATATAT